ATTACAACTACAGTAACAACTGCAGTTGTAATGTAGGACAATGATCATCTTTGAATTTGGTTCATTATAAAAATGTCTGTATTATTTATACATACCATCCACATGGAGAATGTTAAGATTAAGAGTTTATCATAATTAAAAAGTAGGCATTATAAATAAAATTAAAATTCATTTAGTTCTACCTACAAGGCAGCAATGTCTCTTTGGTATAAAAACTGCCCTTGTTCCAGCCCTGAATTTATTAGCATTGTGTTTGCCACAAACCCAAAATAACCACATTTCAGAGCTAAAGCTAAAGGCCTTTAATGACACTTGGAATTTTCCTTTCTCATCCATTGATTAAATTACCTGGATAATCTTCTGAGTTTTTAAGTGGGCAAGATGGGCTCCCATTGATATTCTCCCTATTTTTTATACCATTTCTTTTATAATTATTGTTTAAAATGTTTTGAAATATTAACAAAATATTTTTAGTTCTACATGTCTTTGTTGAATATCTGGTTATAAAATTATCGAAAGATGTAAGTTAAAATAAAATTCATATATGAAAAATGGAGTATAGAAGACATGACTCCCCACTGCTCTGTGGTTAGACAGTTTAATTGCATAAAAGAAAAAAAAAAGATTGAAGGGACCTCAACCAGGCACCATAAATAATCGATTTATAATGTATTAGTATTGACAGCAAGGTGCACTCTGTGGGGAATTAGAGCAATGTCTGTTGGGATCCAGGAAACACAGGTGAGTGCCTCTGACTCCTACTGTCCACGTCCTCCCTCAATCGGCCTTTGTGATTAAACCAGAATAAAAAATTCTGGGAGCTATTTTGCAGGGTGCTGGCAAATCAGCATCCCGATTGCGAGTGGTTCAAGCTATTGGAATTGGCAACATGCAGTGCGTCTCTGCGAGCCTCAAAGTGTATCAAGATCTTTGCTGCGAACTGCATTTTGGACAGAATTTGTTAAAGAAAGATCCCACTGTTAATTTTATAAACCTTATATCATGTAACGTAGGTGTTTAATTTGATGACCCAAGGAGCAACCAAAGCCAGGCGGATCTGGTATTTCTTTTTACAAAAAAATGGTGCAAATCACACTTGGACACAGAGTCCGTGAAAAATTCTTAAATACTAAAGCAGAAGAGCTTCTGAAATGTCTATATAGCATCCATATCAAACATAATACATTTGTTGCTGATCAGCACTGATGGAAACCATATTCGTAAGATTTTTCCCTTGCGGGCATTTTCATACTGTAAGACCCTTTGTGTAACTGCATATCTGTAATGTATATCACAGGCATATTTTGTCAGACAGGTGAACAAAGCATTTATGTTTCTTGGCACAGATTTTATGAATGTGTATCCTAAGAGAAAACGGAATAAGAGCTATGAATGTTATACAATGTAACTTGGAGGCAGGGAGACCATGAAAAACATAATTTGAGTAGATTGGAAGAACTTTGTGTTTAAATACCTGAGAGCAAAGTGCTATACTGGGTGAAAATGATGTATTGTTGACAACCTTAAAAATACTTATAGAAAAGGAAGATTGTAACTCCACAATACATTTGAACCATGGTTAACAGAATCATTTCTTGGCAGTTCAAAACCCAAACCTTAAAAATAAAATACAATTTAAATTCAAGTGAAGTGCATCTTGCTGTGAAGTGACAGAATTTAATATTTTCAGTGTTTAATGGAATATATAGAAGAAGTAGTGATGAAGAGGGTTTTACATTTAATCAGGAAAGCTATCTAAACAGTTGAGATTAATTGATAACATTCCCGATACTTTTTTTTGAAACATACAGAATTCAGTAGTACAGTACTATTATAATGGTACTATACTTATCTGTGAAATCCTGCTGTTACTCGAGTTAGTCTTAATGTCTGATCATACTGGTTTCCTGGACACCTGTTTTTTTTAACAATACAACTTGCAGTACCTTCATATCTGTCCCAGTGGAGGCAGTCTTCTAACGCTCTTGTGGTTATATGGAAATGATCTGATGGCGTGATGTGAGTTGAAAGACTCTCTCGATTGTTTGACATACTGATCTTGGTGGTTTTGGGGGACATTTTGAAGAGTCAGTAAGTAGATGCCATCAGGAAACACTAAGCTGCTTATACAGTTTAAAGACCGTAATTACAGGGGCCTCCACTGAGTGATCTTCAAGGTGGCAACAGCGCCAACTCAGGAATATAACTTTGAGGCCGCTGCCTTGACAACACATTGTAACAGTCAACAGTTTTTTTTATGTCTGTTGCTTTGTCAGTTGACTTTTATCATTGAACTTCTTGACATGCTTACTGCCATATCTAAATTTCCAGAACATCAGATTTGCCACGTAATGCAAGCATCTGCTCATAGACTTTTTAAGGCAGCACGTTTCTTAAGAAAAAAGTCAGTACCTGTCCCTTCTTATCAGTATATTATCTAAGTATTTATAATATATGTGTGTGTGATACCTTTTTGGCTGTATGATAAGGAAACAAGCTGTAAACCTCATGACTCTACCGTATAATCTTAGCATCGTAAAAGTAATAAAAAAGACATTAAGGTTATGTCAAAATAATGGCAGCACACCTTAAATTTATATAGTGTAATTTTGATAGCAAGAGTGTTCTAAAGTAATACTGATAGCCTGCCCTTTTCGTCTCCAACAATTCATGTAACTTCTCCGTCTTGGCATGTTATGTGTCTTGGCAATCGTTTTAGTGTCTTCACTAGAAAACAAAAGATGTAAGTAGTACAGTGGCTGGAGTAGGAAACATTCATTGCTGAATGAAAACAACAAACACATTTCCTTTTCTGATCTTTGAGAAACATGAAATTACAGTATGTTTGTGTTGTTGTTCTCAAATTGTTTGTACTTCTGTAGTAGCACGATTTTAAATATCACATTCCCATCCATGAAACTGAAATCCCAACTTGAAAGTAAAGCAATTTCTTTCTTGGATTGAAGAGGCAAAACTAGTGTATCATTTTAATTGAATAATAAAAGCATCTTCAAATCACATAGCTAAATTTATTTTTAAATATGTTTATAATAAACGGATCACTGATATCTATAGATATTTCTATTGAAAAAAATAATTCTTTGCTTGCGAACCTGCATACGTGTTTTTTTTAAATAGTTCCCAATTCACTTTTGAGTAATTTGTTGTCAGGATGAAGTTTTAGATTAGCAGACAGGAGCAGTTTCATCAGGCATCAGAAGAGCTAATTCTCACCACTATGAAAGCATAGCTTTACCCAAACCTGACCGCTGAGCAGTGGTGTGGTGGATCTCCCCAGGGTGTCACTGCTGAGTCATACCAAATTACGCTCCAATGCACTGTGGCTTTGTGATGTGGGTTGAGGAGAGTTTGTGACTACAGTGATTCTACTAAACCAGTTTCACATGTATCCTTTCCACCATCCCCAGAGGTGACTGGCGAGCAAGTTAGCTTCACGTAGCAACTTGTTTCCATGGTTCATATGCTCATTAGTAAACCACATTCTATATTGTGAGTTTTTTCTGGGAAACCTTAACATTTACTTGCCCTCAAAAGATGGAGAAAACCATAAATACACTCAGTCTACAACTGAAGCAGTCTTACAGGCTGAAAGATATCAGAACCTGTCTTGCGTGCGTGCATACTTTGCTCACTGTGGCTTTGGGTACTGTGATTAGGACCCAAGTGGTAAACATTTCAGTGCAGGTGTGGTATAATCTTATGTGCTTTTGGATCTGGATTAAAACAAAGTTTCTAAAGGACACACAATAAAGTGCCGATGGAACACCTGCAAAACCAAAAGTGGATAATGAACACCTGAGCACATTCTAGCTAACCCAATTAAACTCATTGACATAGCCAGTTATAAAAGAATGGTAGGTATTGAGGTTTTGGTCCCTTATTGTCTTCACACAAAAGGTTTTCAGATGTATTCAGTTCACAGTAGGGCAGGCTATGTATAATAAAAGGAGTTTAATGAATCATTGTTTAATTTAGATATGGCTCACTGTTTGACCATTCGATAGGCCTGAATGTATACATACAATTCCTGTGACAACCACTTAGGCAAGTGTGATTAATTCCCATTGAATTGATTAATTATTTTGAGAATAAAAACCCTGCAAATGATAAATTTAGTGATTAAGTTGAATTTGTGGAGTTGCAACTGTGGGCAGTGTAATTATATCATACTGTAAATACAAAGGCAGGAGAAGTAAAAAAAAAAACATACACACACGACCTTTAGATAGCTATGCAGGTCTGCTGAACTGTAGTTCTCCGCATTGTACAGTACCTAAGGCAGGGGGCTCATTACTCCAGTTCTGGAGGGCCAGAGGGTTTCTGGACTTCATTTCAACTTAGCCTTTAATTAACTAATTGAACTCATTATATGTGCATTGAACAAGTTGAAGCCTTTCTTTGTTCTTAAGAAGCTAGAGATGTGCAGAGACCTATTAAACCTGCTGGACAGGAAGTTCCTACTTGAGGAATTTGAGCACTCCTGTCTTAAGGTCTTATACTTCAATTGTGAATTGCCTGGGTTTCACTGGAGTCCCTAGTAGCAGTCAACCTGTGAAATGTCATGGGCAGATACCTCCATTAGCATTTTCTACCCATATCTTTTAGAATCCAGTAAAACTTCTTGATAAAATATCATTCTCTAATAGAAGGATGCAATGTCTAAGCTATCATTGAAAAATGCAGTGTAAAACATGTAAATGATCTTTTTTTATGTTGTTATTCTACCATTTGTACGAGCCTTAATATTTTACAATTCTGCACAAATTGCATGAACACCATTTCACTTTTTGCCAGTACATGTTGTGTTCTTATTATACGTGATATTTTTATTAATTTTGAGAACAGCTTGAATAGATGGAAGAAAGATTAATCACAACCCATTACAGCAGTACACTGCTTTAAAAATCTGTGGTGTTCCAAGGTTACAAAAGCACCTGCAGCTTCATTTCATGTATTGGTTTTTGTGTTCTGTCTCTTAGGACGAATCCTAAATAGGTTCTCCAAGGACATTGGTCATTTGGACGGCCAGCTGCCCTTCACGTTTGTGGACTTCGTACAGGTAAGGCAGCACCTCTGCAGCCTCAATGCTATCTATACGTTGTGAGGCCATTTCATGGATGGCTGGGTCTGCTTTGTGGACATGGCCCTGCAATCTCAAAACAATTACTTCAGGATTACCAGCTCGCCTGACAGAGCAGCAGCACTGGTTTAATAAAAGTGTCAGCACATCAAGAGAGGGTGTGGCTGCAATTTAATAATACACCAAAGCAAAAGTTAGCAGTGCTCTCATTAACTTACATCGGAGAGTGCTAGAGTCCTGCTTCCCTCTGTCCTTTCAGCAGATCCTTGCTCCTTGTCCTGCTGCCCTAGGGCACTCTGGCACACGTCCAGGTAATGTTACAGAAAGCCACCACATTACAGAAACAATCATCTCTCATGAAAGACCATGAAGATGAGCCAGCTCATGCACCTATTACCACAAAGGAGGGAATGTTTGCAGCACAATCAGAAGTATAGAAGCAGGCGTGGTTCCTTGGTTTGGGTAAAAGAAAAGAACAAAGCCTGGATGAAAATTAATACTTTCTTAACAATAAACGAGTGATGTTTGTGGCAGATACAAATCTCACAGGGAACAAAAGCCTTCTTAAATGATAGAAGCACAAAAGATCATATTCACAGAGGCTTTTTGTGCAGTATTGCCTCTCGATTTTAATCATACACTACATAATGGGTAGAAAAAATAGTCTTACGGAAGGCCACTTTTAAAAAGTTTCAAGTTGAAATCTTAATGGCAATTCTGTCATAGAAGAAACGTGTTTGTATAGTGGTATCAGTTTTCTGATTTAGTAGTAAAATTAACAGATATAGCTAATATGAATGAATCAGTCTAATGGAATATCTAGTTTTCTTCCCATAATATGGAGATATTACATTTTTTAGGCATTTCAATCATGTGTTTTATATTCAGTGACCTGGACAGTTTTCCTTAATGTGTATTAGAAAAACATTTACAGTCAATGCCAAATACTTTTTTTACTTCTTAATTTTTAATAGTATTCTGTGGTGTTGCAGCCATAAATGAGAGGGGATCACTAGCAGTTGTGGTTAGGACAATTGGATCTTCTAGACTGGTATGTCCTCTGGTATTTGTCCATTAGAGAATATTCTTACATGAGACTGAAAAGATCAGAAGTTCAAGTCCTAGATGTTAGTTATGTTTACAACAGATACAATTTCAGAGATCCGATATCCAATAGCAAATAGATACTCTTTCAATGAAAAGCAGATTTAGAATAAAAGATTGAAAATGGTAATATAATGTTAATTAATTACATTAATCTTCCATGATTAAAAGTGAGAAATCCACATTTTCTAAATTTAAAATTGCCAATTTTATCTTTCGTTAGACTCGTCAGCTGTGTGTTTCTGTACCACCTCTCATCTACAAACTACACAAACGCACACAGAGAATGAGGACGTGTACTCTTCTGACGCACCCACCTTTGGGCCCCTTGTCTCACATGTCAAGCCCTGCTCGGAATTTCTGTGCTGGTTGGCACAGATGTTGCATGAGAACTGTGTGCCAGGCTGACTATTTCCATACTTCTCTTGGCTTGATTGCGTCCACTTGGGGGGAATCCCAGTTGGCTAGTGCCATGACCCAGGCTCGAACCCGTGATCAGAGAGCTCAACCTATGCTTGGGAAGCCTCTTGGGAGGCCCTACATTTTCACTGAAACATAATTAAAGGTCCCAAAGATAGGGGTAAGGTTAGGATTAGTTAGCACACTTAACTGTGCTAATAACTTTTATTATATAATTGTTCTTGGGGAGAGAATGAACAACACTAGTTTAGGTGTTATCATAAAGTTTTGCTGCTGTAAATTTTTTGGAATTCAGGAATTAAGCATCAGTATCCTAAGTATCGCATCTATGTTCTAAAGAGGGTTTGATCAGTTGAAAAAGACGGTCAATGGAAAATGAGAAATAACTGTTTTAAGAGAGCACAAAAATCATAACCATTCACTGATGAAAGCTATGATTTACTTATGGTACAGTGCCACGCATTTGCTAATTTTCGCTTGCTTGTCAAAAACAAAGCAATTTATGCTCTGAATAAAGCTAATTACTTCAACATGTACGATATTTATGACTGCTCATTGTTTATATACAATGTAGTCTTTCCCTCTAAAAGAAAAATGCAGTTTTATTATGCAAAGGACAAAGGTTGCATCATTTCAACAAAGTGCTTTTGTTTGTTACCCATTATATTTTTGTTTGCAGGTGCCTTTTGTAGAACAGTCTTTAATTCTTTCAGGAAGGACTATTTTTTCCTCTTTTTATAAAGTATTAGCTAGACAGAAAAGCCACTGATCCTTACCATTGTTGTTCATTCTCTGAGGGACATTTCCCAACAGTCATTGTTTAAATGGTTGTCAAGGGGAGTAAAGTGAAGCTTAATAAACAATGTGGTAACTGGTTTATCTCACTCTGTGGGGAAAAGACTTTTCTTTGGGGGATTTGCATTTAAGTAGTGGTCTTTTTTGTTGGGGTTAGCACTTTGCCATTCTGAAGAGCACCAAATATTCTTAATAAGGTGCTTCTCTCAAGTGGGAGAATGTAGTTTCTCCCAAGCAATATTTTTGTTCATTCTAGTTTAGTGGCCATTTACCAGCAATTTAAGACATGGAAAGGTTTTTTTTTTTTTTCTTGTATTCATTCAAAGTAAGAAATGTCAATTATAACTACCTAGGAAAACTGGAATGAATAGTTGGCTTTTGTGTGTAGTTGACCTTTAAATCCTAGGTTGCCTTTTCTTTTAAAAATGGAGCATTTTAGGATGTGAAGACAACAGACGTAGCGTAGAAGATTTTGATGGACATGAGAGGCTGAATTATAAAAGCTCTTGTTCAAACCACTCTGAAGGCTACTTTGGTTTCTTTGCATATATATATATAAAATGGTTTTCTTTATAAGAAAGTGAGAAATGAAAATGATAGTGAAATCTGAAATTCTAAATGTTGCTTTTTGGGCACAAATGTGGTTATGTGGTCATATTCATGTAGAGCTAATTCTTTCATTGAATTGAAGCACAAAAAATGATGCTGCAAGCTCAGTGTATACTGGTCAGTTACTAAGGCAGTAGTATTATGGAACTGAAAGTGACTGTAAGTCTGAATAATAGAACATTGTTTTTGTTTACAGGGTAAGCGGAAAAAAGGCAACAGGCACAGAGTTCTAAAGTTTTGTATTTAAAAATATTATATTATATGTGCATATACATACATAAAAAGTTGCATTTTTGCTCAGTCTGATGCACAAAGGTTCATGGTTCCCCTAAAGACATGCCAAGTGAGGCTCTTCAGTAGTCAGGAGTGGTTTCATGTGAATGAGGAGAAAAGGGGAAGTGGGCTGACTAAGATGCTAGTAACAGCACTAGCAGTCATGTGCCTACAAGCCCCGTGTGAAAACCTTCAAAGCCTGTGTGGTCTCATGGCATTGTGGTCCAGTAAATATTTCACATAGCTCATCATGGCTCTCATATTCACAGGATCACCTCGTGAATGACTGACCCAACATCAGTTTCTTTTTTCTTTAGAAAAAAAATGAGATCCGATTGACTTGCATGGCAAATTATCACTGCTGTACGGCAGCAACAAGTTGTTCCATGGAGGTTATTTAAACTATTTTGGTATATGTAAGTGACTAGTTAGGAATGGTTTGCACCAAATGCGTGATACTAATTCTATCATGTATCAGATCTGAATGATTTCTTCAGAGCTTGCCCTTCTTATTCTAGTGTGTCCTAAGCCTTAAGCAGAAGTCTTTTTGTGTGTGTACTCATGTGAGTGTGAGGGTAATTGTGAGCTTGGAAGTGAAAGCATGTGAATGTTCTTGCAGCTGGTCTATGGAGAGGGAGTAGTGATTTATAGAGGAGAGAGTGAATTTCAAAGCCTTTCTTTTTTTAAGGAAAAAAATCAACAGCTTGACTGAGCTCAAATAACTGACTTTTCTTACCTTTTCTTTGGACACAAAGGCTTAATCCTTAGACTACTTGAGCCACCAATGTAGACAGTGACTGAGACCACCACGGAATGTGTCAGTCCCTCCTCACCACACACAAAACACATTGACTGCAGCTTTATGAAGTGAAAATGCCAAAGAAAGGGAAAATGTGAAGGAGGTGTCCACAGTCATTTCTCTGAAAGAATAGCTGCTGCATCTGGTTATTTGGAACAAAAAGGCCTTAAGACAAGGATAATAACATGGGTCACTCGCATTCTTGCATTCTAAAAAGTGGAACTGCCTTTCCTCATTTCAGTACCACTGACCCTTACATTTTATTGTACTGCTCTGTCAGGGAAAGTGTGTTGAAAAAATTCCAGCGATTATGTTCTACAGAATCTTTGTTTTTGTTTTTTTTTGTTATTGCAGCGTCTGTACTTCATTCAGAAACCCTGCACACAGTTGCTAGTTTAAGAAAAGAAAAAGATTTCTGTTGATACTCGAACATCTAATTGTCCAAGACATATTTATGCATAATTGTGGAACAACAGTTGTTATCAGCGTAGAGCACAAATATTCCAATTTTCTTCAATTTTCTAATTTTATATGGACATCAAAGTTCAGATAGTATCACTTGCAAAATGAAGCAATTAAGGTAGTCAAGATATGAATGGTGTATGGGCAGTGGTTAAACCACTGAATCGCATGTTTGCAGTAGTTTTCTGTTCTTAGCAGAAAGCAATTAGAGGTCATGCTTTATTTCAACTGTTTATATACAAAGGCTTTTTTCACTTGATTTTCAGCGTGCTTTAGATTTGGAAGTTTTTTCTGCTTTATTTTTTATGAGATTGGGAGTGTGGGTTTTTGTTGGGGCTGGGTAACTTGTTTATTTGTAATCAGGCTCATCTGTATGTATAGTGGGTGGGACAAAGTTCTGTGATTCGGACATGATAACTGGCAGACCAGGCAAATTGATCAGATCAAACAAGAGCATGGCGACAGAAGCCCTCTAGAGACTTGGCTCAAATATAATTAATCCTGCTTGGTTTATTTGCCTCAGATGACCTGTGTTGTCAGAAATCATGCAAACTTCATGTTTTGACTTTGAAAAGATTTGAACAAATTAAGAAGAGAGTTTAAAATCTAAATACAAATGTTAGGTTCTTTGGGTATTAAAATACAGTTAGAAGATCAGAGTGGAAATCTAGAAGCAAGTTAAAGCAAGTTATTTTTCCTACAATATTTATTGAATGTGAAAACAATTACAAATGATAGGAGGCCATTCTGCCCATCAAAGTACATTTGGTGGTCAGTAGTTTGATCCAAAGATCTTATACAGGCTTTTCTTGAAAGAAGCCAAAGTATTGGTCACATGGTAGCTTGTCTCATACTCTCACAACCTTTTAGTTAAAGAAGTGTCTCCTATTCTTGATTTTAAATACTCTTCTACACAGTTTCCACTCGTGCCCTGTGGTCTGCAAATTTCTGATACAGTGACCATAATCTGTAATCAACAACATGAACTAATGCACATTAGGTTGGACATTGGAAAACACTGTGTGCAGAGAGGCTGGGAGAGTAAAACATACTGTTTGTTTATTTGTCTTCCCTCTAACTCCTGTGTTAATATTGTTAACATCTCTCAGCAGGCTGAGTGTTCTATAATGTTCTACAGGAATTGTGATGGCAGCTCATAGGTTTAAAACATTTACGTTAATTAGAATGAAGCTGTGATCAGAGAAACCAGAATATTTACTATACAAGCACTCCCAGCATCAGAAGCAAATGGTTGATGTGCCAGGTAAATATAAAAAATAGCTTTCATAAATATATCCATTCCCTTGAAACAGTGGTTATTTTAAAAACAAGAAACAAAGTGCTATAAGTTTCATGTTATGTTTATGTTAATGTTAGGTTTTAAATAGAAACCTTACTACTAATAGCAAGTACAGCAACGTGCATTCTTAACCTTGAGCTTTTTAAGGCTCCTGTTCCCTATGAGCTCTCTGAATGCTTCTTTCCAAGTTCACTCTGCCACTGTTCCACTGGTCAGTTGTGTGTAATCTGAACTTGCCTAGCACGTACAGTACGTGATTCCACATTCTCTACGTGGCTGTCGTTCTGCTTATTTAAGGATAAGTGTCGTTCATTTCAGTCCAGCTGTAAAATAAAACCTTGAAAGTGAACAGATGTTTTCTCTGTAGTATAAAACCCAGTAACACAGAGCTGCTGAGTTATAGCTTGGGCATGAATTTAACATTAAGAGCAGGAGATGAATGGAGTAAATCTGATCCTTTGTCTCTGGGGTGAATCAATGACTCAAATGTGAGTATTGCTTCATCAGGATATAAGTATATAACATGCTTTCTCCAAATACATTGCAGATATATGAGTAGGCATGCTGGTCTAGATGCTATGACCATCTAATTTTTCTAACTGTTTTGCAATACAATACAATACAAATACATTTAATACAACCAATATATTTAATTCATTTAGCAATCAATTTAATTAAATATATTGGTTACAAATACAAAATAGATGGTCTTGTTAGCCTTTAGAAATAATGTTAAGAATTCCTGTTCCCTTTTGATTTCTTTATTAAGTTATGAGTGGTAAAAGCTCAGATCGGAACATCATTTAGTCTGGTGACGCTGACATAAATAATGTTTGCTAACATAAACAGTGGCAAATAGTAGCTTGTTTGCCAAGCTTTTGTTGAAATAGCAAGGCCATTATGTGAAAAATGTTGTATTTCTTGGTGCTTTTAGTTAATTATTTATGCTTTTTAAATTAGACTTGCTAATGAACTGAATAAATTTGGATATTATTAGTCAGTTGAGATGCATTTCTTTTATTCATTCAAAATATACAGTGATTTAATATTTTAGGGGAATGATTTGGCTTCAAGAAAAAAAAAACTTTTGTAGAGAAAGTTTCAGAGGAACCCCTACAGCTTTTTGAATCTCGTTCTTTATAGTACAGGTTTCTGTAAAATTAATTATAACGGTTAATCTTCAGCTGTTATAACATTGCAGTGTTATTGTACTGTATATAAAAGTAGAATGATACAGTGGTGAATCTTTTTTGTATCTTTTGGAAAACATTTGCCTGTTTTGCCCATTCAGCCCTCATCATTTAGTCTAGGAACCTGCCTGCATTCTACAGACAAATATAATTTTGTGTGCTTTGGACGTCCTGTACGTTTGGATCCATTGTGCTGTGTAATTTCTACTTGATGGTTGATGGTGTGTGCTATACAGCAGCAGTTGTGTAGCTGGTAATACCCCCTTATCTAAACTATAAATGAAATTGAGTTGGTTTTCATTAGAAATGATATTGCAAGTGATCATGCTTAAACATGTGGTTAAGAGCTTGATAACATCAGCAATTAGGGTGCTAAATTAAATTTTATTTCTGAATCCTGTACAGAAACCAGCAAACATACATGGCTGATACATCTGATTCTTTGTTGCCTTACAAGGGGGTTGGATGACAGTGTCGGACTGTCTTTGATCTTAAGGTGCTGGGCTTCTGTTTCTTGTGGAATTAGAACATAAGAGAGGCTACAGATGAAAGGATGCTACTCCCTCCTCCACATCTTGCTCAAACTGTTCCACTGTTAGCTTATTGATCCAAAGATCTTGTCCATCCGTTTGAGGGATCCTTAATAAATTGGCTTTAACTGCAAGGCTGGGTCATTGGTTCCAGACCTTCATTTGTGTAGTGCTTCCTGATTTCAGTCATTAGTACTCTTAATTTCCTGTGTTAATTAAACTGGTGGACTTTACCATCATCTTTTAAGAATTTCAATGCTACAGTACTATCACTATTTCTCTAATGTATTTTATTTACTTTACATACATTCATCTATTTCTTGTCTATCTATACATATATCTATTTAGATATTTTTATATCTAGTTTTGGATAAATGCTTTATCCCGTACAGGATCACAGTGGAGACGAAGCCTATCCCAGCAAGCTTTGGGTGCAAAGTGGGATACACCCTGGCCTGGACACCAGTTAACTGCGGGGCAGACACAGACACAAACGCACACACTCAACCAGGGCCAATTTTTCCCAGCAGCCAATAAACCTACCAGTATGCCTTTGGACTGTTGGAGGAAACTGGAGCGCCTAGTGGAAACCCAGGCAAACACAGGGAGAACATACAAACTCCATGCAGATAGCAGCCCATGAATTGAGTCCAGTACCTCAGCACTGTGAGACAGCAGTGCTAATCACTGCATTGCTATGTTGCGCATTTTTTTTATTTACAGTACCTTATATGTACTGGTAAAGTGAATTCTAAACTCATAGTCTCTACTCATAATTTTTTGCCACGATCAATAAGTACAAATCAGTTCTACCCTCTTGTCTCCATTAATCAAATTGAAAGTGTTTGACTTTATTTTGAAGAAGCAAAAATATTGGGAAAGCTGGTTAACTGGTGTCTCTTGTTGTTCAGGTGTTTGTTGTTGGATAATTAGGCACTCATAACCAAACTATAAACCTGTTTTGTGTAGTCAAAGGCCAGAATGCAAACAAAAGATAATTGCTTAAAACAAATGTAAGACAGAACCATAATGTAGAATTTGGGTATTCTAAATTGGAAATTTGGAATATAATAAAAAAAAGAAATCACACGTATAATCACCAGCCAACCAAACTCAAGCTGGCCTAGAAAAACATCTGCAGGTGATGACAGAAATGCCATCAGGGCTGTTAAACCAAACCTAAAACAGCAAAGCGCAATGTTGAAACTTTGATACAATTTGTGTTAAAAAATAACATGCAAGCAATAGAGAATTGGGTCCACAATGTGTATTGTTTACATTTTTAGTTGAATGTGGTTATAATATTACAGTTATAAGTGATTCCATGGGCAGTTTCCAACATCTGGTCATAAAATCTTCATAAAACTCTGGGATATCTTGTTTGTTGCAAAACTCATGTCTATTTATCAAATAGAAACATCAGTGACTGAAGAGTCACTGTGTTATTTGGAAATGCAGTTGACTACCCTGATTTCCTCGGAGAGTTCATTTATCCATTAGTGTTTATATTTAAGATATGAATTTGTCAACTGATGTGGGAGATACAGGGATTTCTTTATAGATATGAACTGTCAGTGGTCAGTGAAAATTAATATCTTACTTTTAAACTATAGATGACATCTTGTGCTATGCAGTAGTAGGGGAAAGCCTCCAGTTTTGTTTCCGTAAGTTGGCAGCAATTAGGCAGTGTGATGTACTTGTTTACAAGAAGTACATGTCAATGTGTTGTGTGGTAGAAGTGCCTGTGGTTTTCTAATGCAGTTAGAAATCGCAGTCTGTCATACCATGACAAGTAGTGATTGCTCCTCAGAATGGTGATGACCAATTGCCAAGGGCCTCAAACTAGTTGAATGTGGCTCTGAGGAAAGCTGCCACCAGAAAGCCTGAAGGTAAGGGCTTACAGTGGTTTCAGACAATCAAATCAAGAAAGGAGATAGAACACATACAGTAGCTACTGCAGGATATCCTATCATCTTTTCAAAAGTAACCCAATAGTATACTCATGTTTCTTGTTTTGATATTGACATAAGCTTTTGAGCAGAGATACTGAACCCACCTGCTTGATTTATGTACATTGCTTTGAAGATTTCACTGTCCAAGTTTTCTTTTAAAAAAGTTACAGTTTACTCGAAGAAAAGGTTTTGATCCGTTTTGTGAATTACGTTTATATTTCTACTGTTGTGTTACTTGTGGTGCCTCTTTTTGAGTAACATTTATATGGTTGTGCGTTTTTTGTTTGTAGTTAGTTAATTGGAAGTTGGCAATGATCAGGAACATTTTGTCACGTTTTAAAATTGTCCTTTTTTAAATTAAAAACTTGTTCCTGAAGTGCCTTGAAGATCAGATTAATCTATTTTATATGATTTTTTTTAATTGACAGAACTTGCTTTTTTCCCCACCTAAACAGGTGTTCCTGCAGATACTTGGTGTTGTTTCTGTGGCAGTCGCTGTGATTCCATGGGTTATAATTCCCATTATTCCCCTCTTCATTGTCTTCATATTTCTGAGGCGATATTTCCTGCAGACCTCTCGAGACATAAAGCGCTTGGAATCAACCAGTAGGTTTCAATTCTTATTAATATATATACTGTATTTTGTTGTGGAATGTGTTGATCATTAACCCAAAGAGATATATGTTTAACCGAATGCTGGCAATGCAAATTTTTAGACCTTTTGCAAGTTCCCAATGAATAAACAGTTGGGAAAACAAAGCAGTAAATGCCAGCAGGCAAAAAAGGGACCACGTTGATCCACCTCGGGGCCAAGGCCACTAGCCCCAGTGGATGAAGGGAGTCATGGGTGGACATGCCACTCAAGCAAAACAATGGTGTTAAGTTTCTGTTCTGTTAGAAACCCAGCCTTTTCTTATTCATTTAATTTCATTGTACATAATCAGAATAGTAAAGGAATGTGAAAGAGAAAAGGATTTTTTTTCTCCCTGTAGTGCTGTTGCTTGGTAAAAATGCTACAGTGTTGATTAATGATATACATCTGTCAATTAGAAGTGAAGCTTTAGTATTGCAATCATCAAACCCAATCTATGAAAGCATGAAACAATTTAGTTATTTTATACCAAGGAAAATATTTTAGCAAATGACAGGCTAAAAGAAGATAAACTATAGATTTTAATTTGGGTATGGTCATCAGAGTCAATTAAAAAATTACTGACCTTGAAATTCACTCAGTTTCTACACTGGGTTTAGGTTAGAAAATGGAAAAAATATATTTTTGGGTGATTCTCTTCCACTTCATGATGAGGTCAGCCAACTATAAATGTATTACCAACTCTTTCCTCTTTTTGGCTGTAATTTATTTTAATTTTGGATAGATTGGTGGTCTGACAGTTAGCAATGCTGACTCGCAGGCCTTAGCTTCTGGGTTTTATTATGTCATGGGATGTATCCTGTATAGAGTTTCAATGTTCTTCCAGAATGGGTTTTCCCACTTGGTCCAATTACCTCCTAATTGCTAAAGACATGCTGTCTAGGTTAACTGGTGTCTCTAAATTGTCCCTGTGAATGAGTGGTGTCCCATTCCAAACTTCCTATATTTCTAGGATAGGGTCACAGCAACCCAGGGCCTTACTAGGAATATGTGGCTTTCTTATAATGGATAGATGGTTCTTAAATTCTTGCTTCAAAATATAGTAATTATATTTCCAGAAATGGAGCAACATTTTTTTTTACATTCCTTGCATATCAGGCCCTGCATTATCGAGAAGAAATAATCCTTCTTTTTTTTAAAGATTTTGACCTTGTGAGGCACTTAAGAATTCCCGTTCTGTGTTATATTGTTTGTAAAAGGTGTTACTAGAGTCATGAAGGAAATTCTGGCCTTTACAGACATATAAACTTTGCATTATGCAGGTGAAGATACAGTACATTGTGTGACAGTAAATTGTTTATTCAGTGTTGCATATGTTATTTGCACTCTCTTAAAGACTTAAGATTCTCTTTATCTAAAAAGCTAGAAGCAAACTGTTCCTTCCATCAAATTAATTGTACAAACAGCTGTTTCAATATACTTTTTTGCTTCAGGAAAAAAATGTTGAAACATTTATTTGCACAAGGTGTTCTTAATTTCTGTCCAAGTTTGAGGTTCTTTTAGATAATTTTACAATAATGGGAATTTTCGTCTTAAGGACAGGCATTAATGTGGTGTTTATTTATTACAGAAAAATGCAAATTCCTGTAAGTATGAGCACAAGGAGGTGAAGGATGTTTTGAAACATCTTTTCTTTTTCTGCTTTAGCACGAAGTCCTGTCTTTTCCCATCTGTCCTCCTCTCTCCAAGGACTGTGGACCATTCGTGCATTTAAGGCAGAAGAAAGATTTCAGAAAATATTTGATGAGCATCAAGATCTCCATTCAGGTTGGTAGGACTTATCTTTACACTATGACAAAAAAAAACATATCTAACATTGATATAAAAGAATAATATATATGAACATTAGTTTTTTAATCTCATGTTTAAGAATCTGAGAACATTAAAACAATTGAAAATTGGGTAGGTTTTAATGTTTTAGAGTTTAAGAATTAGTGAGTCTTTGCATTTTAAGCCGGGTGCATAACACAAATGATTAGATCAGACACATTGACAAATTAAGATTTAGTTAAACGAAAAACATTACAAAAACCCGTGGCACAGTAAAGGTATACATTTGTGTATTTTATCCAAATATTGGTTGTTTTATTTTATAAACATATAGCAAGACCACTGTTTAACAATTGAAGGAAAAGAAACTAAGGTGTCTCGTTTTTTTAAACATCAGAACAGAATTAGGTATGAATGGATTAAAAAAATACATCCTGTTTAAGCAACTAGCTAAATATTCTTGGTTGTTTCAGAGGCCTGGTTTTTATTCCTGACCACGTCCCGATGGTTCGCTGTCCGGTTAGATGGAATTTGTGCAGTTTTTGTCACGATCGTTGCCTTTGGGTCTCTCTTTCTCAGGAATGGTAAGTAGTATGAAGCTTCATCAATGGATGATGAGGAGGTTTGCTTTACAGTGCATCAGATATAGCCAGCTCCATCACTCAAGTGCTACGGGAGCCTCTTGTTTTATTACTTCTCTGAAATAAGGCCTCGAATTACCATCCCTGAAGTAGACACTTCCAAGGCATTGTCCAGGTTGTGCAGTGGTTTCACAAGAGCCTCATGTTTATTTCACTGTTCATAGATGTACTGGTACTAAAGCTCTTGAGAAAATAATCGCTGTAATACCATACCAAGGACCACAGCAATTTATCTTTATGACTGAGCCTGGGTATATAGTAAATGATGATTTATAGAGACCTATAAACTCATAGAGATTACTGTCCCTGCTCTGACTAAGTGTCCAAGTCTTAAAATGTTACCTATAATAGAGACTATGTTTATCCTTCTTGACTAAGCCATGAAAGGACAGTCATTATTTCAACAGAGCTCATTCTGTGGAAGGTAGCTGAGCTTTGTAAAAACTATAGAAAAGGGTTTTGCTAGTATCTTCATTCCCTAATTTTAGAGACATATTTGTGATTTTAGCTGAAATTCTGATTTGTTCTTGATATTTTGAACCTCAAAGTCATGGAAATTGTTGTCAGGTCTGCCTTTTGTTCCTTGTCAATTGGGTGAATTTGGACATAAATATATGAATCACTCCATTAGTCAGAAATGTTAAGTGCTTGTCAGAGTTCTGGAGCCAAGGTTTAGGAATTTCACTTTTTCTCAGGCACTGATGCAAATAAAGCTCCTTAAAATGACCATACTTTATAGTTTCATACTTTGCTGAAAGGAAGCAGGAATAGCAGAAATGCATAGAATTGCAATTCACTTGTTGGTGGTAATTAGCCTACCCTCATGATTTGCTCCTAAATAAAATGACTTCTACAGTTTGTTTATGCAGAGGGAAAGTGTCATCCTCTAAAGAACGCTGCAATAGGTTCCCACAGTCATTAGGGGCCAAAGCAGGATGTATACTATACATTCTCAATCAACAGTAGGCGCTCAATCAGTGACCCCGTCACAGTGCATTAAACTAAATCTTTTCTGAAAAGCTATTTATTAGCCATTTTGAGCAGCCTGCCACTCTTATAAAGATATTGCTTTTGTTGTTTATTAATATACAGTATTTCTTTCAATGCATCCAATTCAATAGGAGAACTTAATGTATTAGAAGGGGCGTGTATAAAGTACATTTCTAGATTGTTTTTGTAGACAATATGGCAAGCTCACTCAAATTCAGAGTCAGATTTGGATAGTTGCACAGTACTCCTTAGGGACAGGGGGCAGTTTATATACATTATGTTGGCTTGTTCTTGTTTTTCTCTACCCTCTAGACTTGGAGGCTGGGGATGTTGGTTTGGCGCTGTCGTACGCTGTCACTCTGATGGGAATGTTTCAGTGGGGAGTGCGGCAGAGTGCTGAAGTTGAGAATCTGGTAAACCATAGCAGCTAATACATTTAAAACTAGGAATTCTGGCCACTTACAATAATGCACCAACACCAGTTTCGTCAACGTAATCAGCATCGCAAGGAAATGCACAAGTAGAATCTCAGTCAGCATGCACTCCAATATTCCTTCTGTCATGACACTGCAACAAAATTGATTGGTAGATGGGAATTAAAAGATAGCCTTTATGTCCTTTGTTCAAAAACATTCCTTTTGGTTTTAAACAAGGTCTAATGTTTGATATTTCTTTACATGTATATAGAACCATAAATGCCATGCGTTTTCTTCTTTTCACATGGTTACTGTTATCAATCCATCCATCTATTTTCTAATTGATTTATCCAGTACAAGGTTGTCGGGGAGACTGAGTCTATCCTGGCAAGCAATAGTCTCTGAACAGGACGCCAATCCATTGTAGAGCACACACAGACAAACGCGCACACACTCATATCTACAGCCAATTTTCCCAGAAGTTAATTAACCTACCCCTATGTGTTTGGACTGTGGAACACAGAGTAAAGCCACACAAACACAGAAAGGACTTACAAACTCCACACAATAGCAACCCAGATCCAGAATTGAACCTAGGGCCCTGGTGCTGTGTTGCAGCAATGTATTTTTTCAATAGCAAATGGACGTATTACTAGCTTGAATGTATTACTTTGGCATATTATGTGTTTCTCTGATCCATTTCAACAAAAAACAGTGAAAAAATAGATAAAATAAATCATAATATGAATCAATATTTAAATCACCAAGCAATGAGAAATTCTATGGAGGTGGGCGCGAACGTGTATCTTAAGAACCTTTTTTAAGAAAACACAAAACTTGGGCCAGTAGCATGAGTGCTATTAAAGCAATAGCTTTTTTTAACTTGTACCACAGAAACTAGCAGAACACTATACCCTTGCCACTGATATTGTAATACCAATATTTATATCAGTTTCCAAAGCATGAGAATATAGAAGCTGAGCACAGATACACTCCTTTGATGCGTATGCAGTTTGGGCAAAGACTGCCGCCAGTGCTTGAGAGATATGCCATGCAACCGTTTAAGTCTACCGCTGTGACTAGTTCTATTATACTGTACCTGGAGTTGCATTTTAGCCCACATGCACCCATGTTATGGAAAAAGTGTTCCCTGATGAATCATGTTATAGCTAATTTACGTTATAGAAACTTGTGTGGGAGAAGCAATGACTTCCAGTATTTGGGTGGATCAACATCAAACACTGAACTGATCAAATACTGAACATCAGAACTGTATGAACCTAAAGTAAATCTGCTAAAAAAATCAAAGCTTCCTTTTCCTGGAAGCCATATCTTAATAGTATGCTGTGTGAGACTTGGGTGTCTTGAGTTTGTGGCGTTCTGTGCTTCAAAGGCAGCAGTCAGAATAATGGCTCTCTGACCATTCTCAGATGACATCAGTGGAGCGAGTTCTGGAGTACACCGAGCTGGAGAGTGAAGCTCCGTGGATCACACAAAAACGGCCGCCCCCCGACTGGCCAAGGCAAGGAAAGATCTCCTTTGAGGGAGTCAGCTTTTCCTACAGCAGTGATGGGCCTGTTGTTCTGAAAAATATGAAGGCAGTTTTCGAATCAAATGAAAAGGTGAGCTTCAGATTTCTAACAATCCTATTTGAATAATCCACTGTTTAATCAGGTTATAGATCTGGCAAATAGTGAAAAACTATTTTTGACTTAGTTAATCTGTACTGTGTAATTTGTGGTTTGTTCTTTAATTTGGGTATATGCTGAATTAGCTGAAACATTTAGCAAAATTATGCTGAAGGTATCAACACATTTGAGCAAAAATTCCTACAGTTTGACTTTTCATATTTTATTTGGCCATTTTACGTTTATATTCTCACTGTGAAACTGCTTTATAAACACTCTTTTAGCCTGTTACATGACTGATAGAACATCATTGGCTGAATATATTCACTTGACCATTTTCTGACAGAGTATTTTCAAAATAACAGAATAATTTCAAAATAATTAAAGAAAAATGTTCTTTAATTCATTTAAGGTTCATATAATAGCTTCTTTCTTTCTTATTAATATCAATAGAATCCAATTGTTTATCCTGTCAGTTTGCAATTTTTCCACAGAATAAGTATTAGTGTTAGTAATTAAGCACATCCATTTGGTCCATATTTGAATATATTCTATCCAAAAGCCATGTTCACTGTTATAAATCCAAGATGCAATTCCTCTTCTATGCAGTGTATTTAAGTTGAACGTGAAAATTATGGATTTCACAATTCAAGTAAAGGTAAATGAAAAGACTGTTGAATCTTTCTGTAGCCTATAGGAATACACTTCATTTATAGCAGTAAATCAGAAGGTATTGTGTGTTCTGACAGGTCTTTCCACACACTTTAAGTGGAACAAACATCTGCCACTCAGTGGCTTTTACATCTAAGTGAAATGCACATACCTGTGGACTAATAGAAACACTCAGACAATGACACAAACCAGTTAAGCCTGCCAAAGGGTGAAAGAGAGATTAAAGGGGTTATGCTAAGTGTTGCCATCACAATACCAGTCTAATGAATCTATTTTTACAGCTTCTGATCTGTCCTTAGTTGTATTTATTACCTTTTTTCTCAAGAGACTTCATTTAAATACAAGTTCATCTTTTAAAAATGTATGGTATATTACAAATTGATATGCAATTAAATTTGGTCACACCTAACATGTTAATATTACAAATGTGGCTTCATTTTCATGGCTGCAAAGAAGTGTTTTGTTCCAATAAGAAGTGCCTCATGGAGAATGTTAAATGTTTAATAAGTAAGTATTCATAAAATAGCAGAATTTTAAGATGATTTAAAAACATACCGTAAGTAATATCTGTCAAAGATTCAATTTCAGTTTTTGTGATGTCAGAAAACTGTCTATATCTATGTTCTTGATTCTACATATCAACTTGTGGTGATATGTGCTTTATCAGTAGCAAATCCAACAAAATACACTGCTCAGCTTAGTTAGAAGTGACATATAACACATCGGTTTTGCAGTGACAACTGACTGTCCTTTAGCCAGAATAGCCTGGTACAGTGTGTACTAGTCATTCTTCCTTACTCCATCCATTTTCTGGGACACCAGACCATGACAGGGCACACACACAAACACAGTCACATAGATATACAAACACAGCCACACTAGGGACATTTTTTCCAGAAGACAAATAACTTACTGGTATGTCTTTGGACTGTGGTAGAAAACTGGAGCACCCAGAGAATACCCAGGCAAATGAACTATGCATGTAGCACTCCTGGTCTATGCTACTGTGCCACCTTGTTCTTTATATGTAGCACAATTTGTACAGCACATGTCATTGGTGTTCCTAATTTTAAGTTTAAGAATTTCATCTGTGATCCATGAATCCAATCCATACATCATAGGGTATAGTGTATTTGGAAAATAGAGGTCTGTCTTAAATCTAATGGTGGACTCATCTGTTGAAATGGGGCATTTCACCCACACAGAAATTTAATTATTCATCTGGTCAGTTGTCATATCATTGTAAGTAGAAATAATGAGATGGAAGTGCTAGAGATATAATCTATGACTTTTGAAAAGATCAGAATGGTTTATCCTGCCTTTGACAAAAAAGGAATGTGGAAATGTGAGAAGGATTCTTCAGAGTTTTTAATGCTCTGGGTGTTCTGTGTGCTGTGTGATGAACTGGTGTCCTGTCCCAGTTTCTGTTGGGTTAGGACCCAGCTCGCTGTGATTCTGTATTGGTCTAGGCAGTTATTAAAAATGAATTAATGGTTAGATAATTGCTCAGATGATAGAATCTTATTACAAAATATCCTGTTTGTGTCAAACATTTCCTTATTAAAAAAAGGTGAAATTTGCATTGTTGTTTTGATGCTCCTTAAAAAATGTAGAGCCTACATTTTTATTGGTCTGGTCACACATTCTCAATGTGCTTTTGTATTCTGTGTCTTGCATTAAGCTTGAACATTTTCTTTAGATCTTCAGTGCTTTTTATACACTGTCAAATTAAGACTTTAGAGAACGGTATGTCCTTTTCTCTCTAAAGATCTTCCTAAAAGCATTGAGAAAAATTAGTGAAGGTAACATTAAAGATATTTAGATCTGTTTAAATCGTTGATATTTTGCTGGACATAGAAATCAGGGTCAGATAGTTAATGTACGAGTCTGATGATAACCACCTCTTGAGTGCTGTTAACAGGAAGTGAATGGTCTGTGTGCCTGTGAAGTCATGCTACTTTGTCTTGTCCTTGAAGGTTGGGATCGTTGGAAGGACTGGTGCCGGAAAAAGCTCTCTCATCTCTGCTCTGTTCCGACTGGCTGAACCTGAAGGGAATATTCTCATCGACAACATTTTGTCATCTGAAATTGGTCTTCATGATCTACGTCAGAAGATGTCTATAATTCCTCAGGTATTTATTTTTTTGCTCTCTCATTAACCTCTTCTGCCGAAATGTACATCAAGTTTTTCGGTGTAAAATATTCTGAATTAGTTAGGTCCCGGCTAAATTAGTTTTCAGTAACTGGTAAGCAGTGAAAATGGAATGAGAACTGAATACTGTTGTGATACTAAAGAGGGAATAATAAAGCAGTAGCCAAACTCAACAGGTGAGTTGCACATTGTTGTACGTTGTTGCAGAAGGGAGCTTGCCCCAGTTCAACCGCTTATAGAGATGTGTTTCAGCATTGCTGGTGAATAAACCATGGACTAGCATCCCATCTATGGGGAATCTTGCATTCTCAGTTTGCTTTATACTAGAATATGCTCCATTCCAATGAGCTAGTATAGGACATTGTAGGAAATCTCTATGTGTTGCAATATATATTACAACTTATAAATTTAGAGCTATCATTAATCGGTTAATAATAAGTCCATTTGTAACAAATAGCAACACACCATGCAATAAATGAACAGGAGTCTGTATAACAATCTACATCTGAAAGAGGAAAGAAAGGGCAGTTAAATGATTTTAGGCACATTTAAGAATTTTAATAAAGCATGTAAACAACTGGAGGTAATTTGGCCCACCTTGTTCCTTTGATAGTTTAGTAGCAAAGTAATACCAAAATTCTGTCCAGCTCTTTAAGTTTGGGTCTCAACCACCTGGCTGGGTAGCCTTTTTCAGGTACCAAAAACTGTTTGTATAAATAAGCATTTCCTTTTCTTGTATTTACACTATACCCATTAGGCTCTTCTTGTACTTTCATAGAAACATTACCTCTTGATAACTTTGTTTTAGACTGATGAAATTTACTGTAGATCCTTTAACCTGTCGGTGTATGACAATCTTTTTAGACCAGGATTCATGTTTCTCTTTCTTGACCTCTTAAAAATTATTATCTTGACAATTGTCTTGTCTGTGGTACGCTGCTCAAAACAGAACACAATTGTCTTATTAAGGTCTTCCCTTGGGCTGAATATTTCAAACATTTTACTACCTACACAGGCATTCAGTTTCTTTTTAATTGTTTCCCCACATCAACTTGATGAAGAAGTATAGAATCTACATAAACCTATATCCATTTTGTGAATTGCTTCCTGCTACTCCAGATCAATATGTAATCATTTGTATATAACAGGAAGGGCAACAGGCCCAAAACCAATCCCTGCAGCACACATCTGCCCAGTGAGAAGTTGTGCCTCTTAAGATGATACACTTCTCATGTGTTTGCACTCAATTTATGCGAATACATTACCTTGGATTCCTCTGGACTTTAGTTTGAGAATCAGCCTTTTATGAGGGATCTTAAAACCTTTCTGAAGGTCTAAATATGTTATACTGTAATTTTATCTACTAGACCTCCCATTTCTATACTCATGTTGATGGTCTCACACCATTTTTTAATTTCCCTTCTAATAAAGTGTTGCTAACAAAGTATTATGGCCAGACTAAAAGCCCAGCGCAGTCCTTCCTCTATATTTATTCACTGATCACATCACTTTGCAGGTGTACTAGTCACTCAGGTGGCTGACCTTACAGTGTGTGAAGAGAACATTACATGGGTGTGATATTAGTTTGTGTAGATTAATAACAATTCACTTCTGAGATACAACATTTGTAAAGTAAGATCAATGTTTTTAGAATGTTAAGGTAGATTTCTGAGATTTAGAAACAGCAATTCTGTTTTAGATTAAATTTCACCCATGGGCGTTATTATTGTAAAGTTTAGTGGAGTGACTTTTGGACTTTTAGTGGAGTATGATAGGGAATGTAATTCCAGTGCCTCAGCAACATTTAAAAGCTACTTAATTTTTTTATGGATTGTTGAGTCCAAATTGTTTAACATTTTGGAAAGCTGTAAGGATTTCAACACGAATTCATTAAGGTTTTTATCATGGCTCAGATGTGTTTCTGGTATCGGCATTTTACCAGATAAAATTTATCTTCTGAATAAAGATGTTCTTGTTCTCATCTTCCTCGGTAGGTCTGTGTTTTGTTTTGTCAGTAGCCTGATACAGGGTATAGGTATGTTCATTGTAACACAATGCAGTTTTCCCTATTTAAAACCATTGGAAATTTAGGAATCTGATTACTGTTGTACTATATATAAATATGATTTCTCTAAGATAGTAGTATGATATTTCAATTAAATAGACATTGTTTGAAACATAATCAATATAAAATTTGACAAGGGTATTATGAATTAATTGGTAATACAGCTTTATGCTTCATTATTTATTAACAGTTTGTATGGTGATCTGTGATAAACTGTAGTGCAGTATTCCTGATAGAATATTTTACAATTTTCATTTTTTCTCATGAAATAATTGTAATGTAATTTTTTTCAGACTAGTACCTCTATTATTTTGTAGTGCATTAGGCTGGTATAGGATGCCTGGCAGTGTATGACACCATCTATGAAAATACCTGGTGGGGATTCTGCTGTGACTACACAAAGGGAGCCTGCTCAGGCACAGTTTGTTTCAGTTCTCAAGGAAGCTGAAAAATTGAATTTTCAGTTCATTTACAACAGACATTTTTGACTTTTTGTTACTGTGTTTATTATGTTGGTTGTCAATTGGATGTCTTTTCAAAGGAGTCATTCTCTTGAGAGCTAATACAAAAAGAGAGACTTAGATACAACAGTTCAGTGAATAGACAGAGCAAAGAGTACAAGTGAATTTTGATAGCAGGAGTCAAGGGAAAGAACCAGGCTGTAAAAGACTTAGTAAAAATTAAGAGTTTTTAATTTGTGATTTAAACACAGATATATTTATATTTATAAGGACTGTTTTACAAAAATGCATTATCCAAGAGTTTTCTCGAAAGTACCATTTAACATTGCCAACTTAGTAACAAAATGTAAACAATAGTTGGAGATTTTCATTGAGCTAACTTGGGTTTTGCACTTTCAGATATGGAGTACTAAAAATAATAATTGTCCATTTTCTAACCGCTTCATCCAGTTCAAGGGTGCAGGGGAGAGACGGAGCCAATCCTAGCAAACAATGAAATAAAATTTCATCTACGGTAACATTTTCTGCATCATACAAAAATCATTATATGACATCCTCATTCATATACTGTTTTTTGAGATCCTATAAGAGAAGCGCAAAAAGAAAAAGGGTTTTGAATCCTTGCAAATCCTATATGTCTATGGCCATCTTTGCTTGTATTTTCAATGTCATAACTTATTGTTAAAACTGTATTCTCATCCTTTCAAATGGAAAGTAACTCATGAAATTTACATAAGATGCTCAATCCATTACTTTGTAAAGCTGTCTGTAGATGAATACATGTAGAATGGTCACGGAATCTACAGATATGATATACATTCTTTACATTCCAGCCTCTGAGAAGAGTCATTATTCCACGTGTTCCTTGAGATTTTATTATGATAAGCTTTTATTAGTATATGGTATTAACACTGAATCCATTTCATGTTCTATTGAAAGTGGAGAAATGACTTCAAAATATAAATTAATTCAGTAGCAAAAAGCAAGCTTAGAATTGTTCGAGCACATAATCACTCTTTAGAAAAATGTGTTCAATGGCTGTTTCCAGCTTTACATTGAATCCTCATTAAAAATGTCACAAAAACTATTTCACATTATGTCTTGAGCTTCCGTGTTGACATGGTAGATGTGTTTAGAGAATTTGGAACAAATGGGAATTCGGAAATTAATAAAAAATAAATTGTAAAAGCTAATACTTATTATGTAGTGTATTATGTAGTGACTAAAAAGCGAGGCAATTATTTAACTGCAAGACATAAGGAGATTACCTTAAGGATTGTGTTTGTGATTATTTGTAGTTATAAAGGCTCTAAAAATGCTTCCTCTGCATCCAGTGTTTTCATTGTGCAGGTATCTTGATTCTGTGACATATGTAAGCAAATCTTTAGCCCACTGGTCAGGCAAGACAAAAGAGTAATAGAAGAGAAACCATTAGAAGGTATATGTCAGGAACACAGAAAAGATTGGTTTAATTAATCAAAGTGTTAGTGTAGTCGTCACCCTCCTCTGCCACTACTCTACACAGTACCAAAAAGCCTAAAAGCCTTGTCTCATACTCTACAGAGTTTCTCTTTTATAGCACAGAATCTAAGTAGATCCATTAGTTTATTTTTATATTGGGTGATGGATAACAGAGATGTGGCTTGTTGGAAAGTATTAATGAAAATGTATTATTAAATATTTTTCAAAATATCTCACTTCCAGGGTAGCTGCAAAGTGGTGTATCTAGAGATACCCGAACATAGTAGTAGCTACTTTGTACCATTTTATTTTGTCTAAAGTTTTATGAGTTATTTAACTGCGAACATCATACCAATTTGAATACGAGCATTTTTGACATGGGTAGAAAAGCTTGTGCACTATCTTATTGCACTAGCAAAACTGGCATATTTTTTTCATTCAGTTTCAGTATATACTGAGACTAAATGTATATATCTTATTTGAACAATAAAGTAAAATGTGCTATGAACTAGAAGGAAGAGCACTAGCTATGGTCAGGTATGCAATGGTTGTTCAAAGTTGAATAAGGATAACCTACTGAAAAGCATTTCAAATGCAACAAATGTTTTTGGATCCAGTGCTCATTTGCTGTGCTTTTAATGCCTCCCAGTGCAGATTTTCTCTTGTGTGTAATGAAAGTAATTTGAAAGAGCACATGAAGTATTAAAACATTTGCTTTCCAAAAACCTCCTCTTTTTTTCAATTTATGCGTCCTCTCCATTCTACAGCAACAACACAAGACTGTACTGATTGGTTCCCTCATGTGTCTTTTTATCAAATAAATATAGTTTATCACACTTTCTGGACTAAACTCTAGATCTTGCCACACTGGTGGTGTTCTGAAGCTTTTTTCTGTGTACTCCAAGTTGCCGATACACTCAGTAGTGTTTTTTTCAAATGGTGATTATGAACACTGATTGTCACTGTTAGTCAAGGTAGCAAGATACAGATAGTAAAGGAACAAGTAATAGGTTTATTCCATGCTGAAAAAAAGAAGAAAGAGAACACAACGTTTCGGCCGTGGAGCCTTCTTCAGGTGTGTCAACACCTGACACACCTGAAGAAGGCTCCACGGCCGAAACGTTGTGTTCTCTTTCTTCTTTTTTTCAGCATGGAATAAACCTATTACTTGTTCCTTTGCAGCCTACGCATGCTGACGCAGCTACCCACCTGAACTACAAGATACAGATAGTGTTTGCTTTCTGTGTAGGAATGGTGATACAATAAGGAAATAACACGGTCAAATAATAAGGAAACAACACGGTGAAAAGCCAGCTGTCATACTCTTATAACATTAATTATATGCACATTCTTCACATTGTTGCTGCTGTGTAGAAAGTTGCTGAATGTTTCCTTTATATGAACTTGAGCCACGTTCTGTACATTTAAAATATACGAGCTCTGGGAGTCTCATTTGCACTCAGTGTTTTTTTAACCATGTTGACTACATTTACTGAAGCCACTTTTCTTGTTAGAACAGTTGCTCTCACTTTAAAGTAAAATATAAAGCACATGTTTAGATTGTGCTATAATAATTTTTTATTTACACTTCATCAATGAAAGTGTAAATCGTTCTGTTCTTGAACCTTCATCCAACTGAAAAATCAGTTACCAGAATTATGATGCCTTCTTTTATTTGTGCAAAAACAACCTTGTACAAGTAGGGAGGCTGAACATAATCTTTTCCTGGGTGGGTACCCTCTCACAGGTATGTGAGACTGACCAATGTAAGCCATTACTGATATTATCTTTTCTTAAATGGGGTGGGTTTCTTTTCAGCTGGAGTCGGACCTAAGCCTGCCTGTCTGCTTCTTGAGGTAGAGCACCTAATGTTTGCAGGTGACAGGTTTGTGATGTTAAAACGTTGCACACTACAGTATTGTACAAACCAGTCAGAAGTTTCTTTCACTGGTATTTCAATATGTCAAATAAATAAAGCATCATTATGATATAATATTCAGTCATATAATAGAATTTTGTTCACAGTATCTATAGAAAACTATGTGTGAACTAAATATTCAAGTTTCTATGGTAGAATTTTTCATGTTTTTCCCATACATGAGAGACTGTGCTAATGTTTGATCTCTGATTTGACTGGAGAAACGGAGTTGCTGTTTGCAGGGAAAGTATTGAAATGCCTGGCTAGCTAATCTCAACCCTTCCTTAGACACTCTTATCCAACTGTGTCCTGGCTTTTGGGGAATCTGGTCAGCTGCTGACGTGTCCTGGAATTGAGCCAGTAATGTCTGAGACTTCTCATTCAAGTGTCTGCTAGGATTATGGAAACAATGTTCTGTCACCCAAATTAGTTTCATGCATCAAATTTAGCATATTCTCCAAAATGACAAAATGCTGACAGTGTGCAATATCTAAAATAAATGTACTGTTAAATTGTCCCAGTTGTTTCCTAACAAGGTTTGTCAGGTCTATCACAAATTGCTTTAGGTTTTGAGACAAATCTGAACTTGAAGTTTCCACCAAAGCTAAAACTCTCTTCCTAAAGTTGTTTTTTAAATGAAGGGAGAAGGATTACACATTCATTCTGACAATAAAGCAGTAGTGACAATGACAATAATAAAACTTGGTCTTTGTTGGTCCTAAAAACTGTCACATGATATTACTACTACAGCGGTGTTCTCCTTGTGATTTTGGGGTGGTCCACGGTATGTCACTTTTTAACAGCAGTTGTTTTGTCACTAGTTTTGCAAATGGCCTTAAATTAATTGCATGCACATACACTAATTTTATGTAAAGGGTGCGATTGTACACAACTTACCCTGCACACAAAACCAGTGATGTATTATTAAACTTCTCTGTATAAAGATTACATGATGAGACTGGAATATTTTCCTTTGGAAAATTGTTATTAACTCATACTTACAAGGGTGGCATGGTGACGCAGTGGTGCTTCAAAGCGCTAGGGCCCTGGCTTTAATTCTGGACCTAATGTGCTATCTGCTTGGAGTCTGTATGCTTTCCCTGTGTTCCTATGGGTTTCGTCTGGGTAGTCTGGTTTCCTTCCACAGTCCAGAAACATTCAGGTAAGTTAATTGGCTTCTGGGTAAACTAGCCATGGTGTTTGTGTGTATAGTTGTCTGTTTGGGTCTGTCTGCCCTGTGGTGGACTGGTGGACTGTGCAGGGTGTACCTTGTTCTCTGAATTGGAAGAAGCAGTTAGAAAATTGATGGATGTACAGTACTTACAATGAACAGAAATGAAAACAGAAAACATCAAATAGCATGCTTGTCATTACCTCTTCACTCACACTACAGCTGCCAATGAGAGGAGGGTTTAGAAGAAGACATCCATCAATCTGTGGGGTATAACTGAGATACTGTACCTCCTCCAAAACATAAAGCAGGACAAGTTCTAAACTTTGATGTTTTAGCAGATGTTTTTGTTATCAGTATGCTGAGGGTTGGCTTGTTTGAAAGGCAGCCAAAATATTTTTGAAAACCTGATGTCAAGGCCAGGCTGCAGCTCTTTATCTTAAAATATGCATTATATCTTAACATTCTTAAAATTAAAGCTCCTGGGTTAAAACAATACTCTGCCTGCAAGTTATCCAGGAAAAGCTTTGGATTTAAGACAACTTGAACTTGTTAAACCATAAATAATAAATAGTGCAATGTATAGGACAGGTATTCCTAAAGTAATAACTTTGTCCAACATGAATTTGATTTACTGTGAATTTCCCAATCGTGGTAATCTCTTGTGATGAGTGATAGTAGTGCTAGTTAGAGTGGTGATAGTGATCAGCTCTGTGCAATATACTTTTATTGACAGGGTTGCTAAGATTTGAGAAACATTCTGAAACTAAGCATGGTCCAGTCATTAGTTTTGTTTTCCTCCTGATAAAACATACATTTCAACACTTTATTAAAGTAGGTTATGAGTATGTTATTGGTTTATAATTAAACCTTTGTTTCATAAAGGGCTTCCACTTTTATCTCACTACTGAAACCTCTCCATGTGATTACAAACTGTGCTTTGCTTGTTATGATCTTACACCCCCTTAATGGTTGTGTCTTGTTACTAGGACCCAGTGTTGTTCACTGGCAGCATGAGGAAGAACCTTGATCCATTTAACCAACACACTGATGAGGACCTGTGGAATGCACTCGAAGAGGTACTTAAAAATGCAGTCTTTTCTTTGACTGATCTGTTCTCTAGCTGAAGTTGACATAGTGATCTTTCTTTGCACACTGTCTGTTCTCTCAAAATTGCAGGAAAAATTCTGATAACACAGCCATGCTGTGGAAGAAGGCTATGCAATCTGTGGATCCCAAAGAAGGCTCTACAGCTGAAATGTTGTGTTTCTTTTCTTCTCTTTCCAGCATGGAATAAACATTTACTTGCTCTTTTGAACGCATGCTGACGCAGCTACCTACTTGAACTTTCTTGTGAAAGATGTATTGAAAGTGTTCAGTAGATAGTATGGCCAGCTATGATCTGATAATGAAGAGTGCCCCTCAGTAAATGAGATTCCAGGTTTTGGTTTCTCATTTGTGCTTGTTTCAGTACAAGGTTAATGATGATGAAATATCAAAAGCTAGTGTTGGTCCTTGTCTTTAGTTAAATAAACATGGATTTAGTGTATTTCATTCTATTAGAGTGACTTTTTATACAGTGATATTCCTGTATAAAATGGCCAGACTTTGCACTGAGCATTTTTCCCGATATAGTGATAGTCATTTAATTGAGCTAATGTTTAGCCTTGGTTCAGGATTTTCTGCATTAACAGTAGGTCATTGCAGTGTTGTACAAGGTGGTGACAGTGTTTTTGTTCTAACTTTCATTGATTTTGGTCGATCCTTCAGTGTGTGGTGTGCAGAAATGAAAACATATGCTACATGACATCCAGTCAGATGACATCCAGATATCTCAGGATGAACTTTAATATTATTTCCTGTCCAGGTGCAGCTGAAGGGGGTGGTGGAAGAACTGCCAAACAAGCTGGAGACTGAATTGGCAGAATCAGGTTCCAATTTTAGCGTTGGCCAGAGGCAGCTGGTTTGCTTGGCCAGGGCAGTCCTTAGGAAAAACCGTATACTGATCATTGACGAAGCCACTGCAAATGTGGATCCAAGGTATTGCATTGTTTCCAGATACTGAAAAATTTTTTTTTTTCTTCTTGAAAAACTTCACTGTCTACCCTTCCATCACAATAAATGTCCTAGTCTGTCTGTATGCTGACTTCAGAGTACTGTTTAGAAGTCTGGAAGAGCACCGTTAATGATCGTTTTAATTCATGTTGTAAGACGTTTCCATTTGTGATACACACTAACCTCCTAACTTGTACTTATGACATTCAATAGGCAGATTGTTACCAACTGCCCTTTCATTTGTCATTTGTCCAGCACTTGTGTCACCATTAGTTTGGCACTGTTAGCCCACTGTTACCCCCATATTTGTTAGCTCTCTTAGGGTTGCTGCCAGTACCTCGTTTTCTCATTTCTCTCTGCTCTTATTTTTCCCCTTCTCCTGTGATTGGGCCTAACAAATGGAGAATTCCTTTTCTCCTCCTGCCCAGTCCCTGTGATCTTCTTCAGTAGAGCGTCCCTCAACCTATTTTCATGCAACTATGAATCCCACCTGACAATTTGCACACCGATCCACAAACCTCTGAGAGAATTCTAACCACAGAGCCCTCAGTCTTTCCTTTTCACCCAACTGATGCAGTCTGCAAAGCGATACCTAGCTCCAATGACACAGGATCAACCAGTTTGATGGATTCTTTCCTCTCTGTGTTCTGCATCTAGCTAGGAAGCTTTTTTGAAATCTCCTTATTAACAAAAGAGGCATGGCTAATTCCATGTGCATATATCAGTCACCCTTACATGGAAACCTACACTGTTTTGCCCCTATTTATAAATTACAGGTGTGTTTCACTAAACAACACACCTGCTTTTTTTTCATCAGCTGTGTAGTTGCTTCAATGTGTGCACATCAGCTCAATGCTCATGTGGACATTGTTGCACCTAGATAGGTTCAGTATCTTTTGATTAACAGATGAACAGTCTCCTCTAGAAATGAATCACAGACATTGTTGAGGGGATTGTTTCATTGTCTTGTTTTTCTTGCTTATACTGGAAAATCTATTAAGTTAGAATTTCTTAATATGTGGTTTGGGGTACATAGTTGAATTGCTGTTTACATTTTGGCAAGATCGGACTTTTAAACTTTTTTAGCAATTAAAAGAAAAACAATGTATCCAGAGAAACCAAAATTTAAGAAGCATGTATCCTAAAGTAATTGAAGAATCAAAACATACACTAAGTTACACAGTTATTAATTAGAGTGAAGAATGAGCAATATTGTTCTGTCCTCCAACTTCTCTATACTTGAAGTTTCCAGTCTTTTGTGAAGTACTGTATGACAGGCCATCTTTGAGCCTTGAAGAGAAGATCTATAACATTGGGGGAAAAATAGAACAAATAACTTGTAGAAGCAAATCAGGGAATGTGTTAATTTGTATAGCAGCCCATAAGATGATGTTTAATTCACATTTTCGTACCATTCTAAACCATCTAGCTAATCATGGTCAAATGAATCTGGAACATTCACAAGTATTGTTCAGTCTCCAGAAGGGATGTTTAATGCAATTACCTCTTATTCCCGTTTTGGCGGATTTTCCTGGATAAAATATTAAATGTATGATCACAGACAAAAATAAGCATTAAACTAATGGTTCATTTTAAAGTGCTTTTACAATGGTATGCCAATTGTTTTTATTTTAAAATTTAAACAGTACCTTCCTAGATTCTGCAGTTGCCATTTAAGTGACCTGTTTTCCTTGGTGTTACAGAACTGACGAGTTAATTCAGAAGACAATCAGAGAAAAATTTAAGGAATGCACAGTACTCACAATTGCACACAGACTTAATACTATCATCGACAGCGACCGAATACTGGTAAGAAATATATTGAACTTTCTTTTAGCCATTGGTATGCTTGCATCATCTCATAGGCTTTGTGTATTTTAGATAGGAGTATGAGTCTACTTCAGAGTGCAGTGTATGTGCTTTATCATAGATTACTTTCTTATTGCTTTATTATAGGAGCATGTGTGTGGAGAACCTTTCTACACACGTGCATCTTTGGTGAATAGCAGTAGCAATGATGACATGTATATGTCTTTATACCATCCAGTTGTGCAATACAGAGAAATTCCTATAATACAATGTTCACCTTTAGTGCTCAATAAAGTCATCCCATGTGTTTTATTGGCAGGTATCTACAGAAACAAGTAATTGTCTAGTTTAAAGAAAAGATTGGGTAGAGCAGATTCTGTCTTCACTGTTTATGTTAATGTTTCTCTGTACCCTTTTGTTTTAAAATAAGTTTTAAAATGTTTTTCTTTAACGTTTTAACGTTAACTTTAATGTTTGAGTGCATATCAAATATGTAGCTTATCTACAGTTTTCTGTTTTGAATTAATAATATGCCATTTAGGGTCTACTACTAGACTACACTATACTGTTCTGCTGCTTACTGTTTTTAAATTGGGTATCTCATGTTCATTGTAGTTGGAAGAGAGATTGCCTCTGATTGCCTCCCACAGTCCAGAGATGCTAGTCATTGGCAACTCTAAACCGTCCCCTAACCTGGAGAAGCTAGAGTAGGGCACCCTCCTTATGTAACCCACCCTGTCCTGAATAATTCTTCTTCAAACAGTGACCTCTTTTGGGTAGGACAAAGCAATGGAAGAAAAAGAAGAGCTAAGACCTTATTTCCTTTCAAATAGTGTTAGAATCGGTACATGCTGAATTTAGTAGAAAACATGGAGGTTTGTCTTCGGAAAAACTTAAGATTGAATTTACAGGCATATACTGTACGTGTACTTACTATTAACCATCCTAATGTCTAAATAAATAACCACATAGTCAGTTTTTGGATTTGCCACTTAATATCTTATTGATTTATGAAGTCCTAGATACACTTAACCTGAAGCCTAATCCTTAGTTTAATGCTTTCGATGTTATGTTCACTGTATAATTACGAGTAACATTTTAAGTGTTATTACGTACCCTTTAAGTGGCATTATTGGCTGGATTAGAGTTAACATGCTTATAGTGTAAAATAGGCTTTTCAAATATTTTCTACTCAAGCATGCAATTTTTTTTTATTTTTAAGTAACTATTTTGAGATCTTCTGGTTTTCTGTTAATATAGGTTCCCTATAAATTGCTGACCTTTAATACGTAGTGTGTTGTTTTATGAGTGAAGGGGTCATACTTAGGGAATGTAGGTTTTTCCTGTGTGGGTCAAAGAAAGTGTGGAAACATACTATAGATGTGTAAATAAGTAAGGTATTTTAATGTAAAACACTGTTCTGCCTCAACAGTCATTTTAGAGGCAATCATTGTGTCACTTGTCCTTCTTTGCTTTTTATGGTGTGGTAATACCAATTAAATATCTTGTTTTTAAATCCTAACAAGGAATTATTTTTCCATATAGTATGTACCCTTAAAAACAAGTTAAGGTCAAAATGGACACTATGGATCTGCCATAAAAATGCAAACTAAATGGGATTAAGATGCTGCTGTGAATTTCTTCTTAACTGTTTCCAATGTTTAAACCATTCTGAAACATTCCTTTTTCTCATAAAATACTTAAAATCTTTGCTTCAAATTAAAACCAACATTCTGTAGTTAAAATTGAAAGTGATGAAGTTTGGAGAGTTCAGACACTAGAAATATTAACATCTCCAATCATATCTCCAGCTAGTGTACAGTATTTCTGAGCTAAATATTTCAAAAAAGGTACTTTTAATCTGTCTTTAATGAAGGACCCTGCTTGTATCCCAACATATACAAGTGTAACTGCTGAAATGCATTTAACAATAGTTTAGCACACGATCCTTTCATTCGCTCCGCTGCTCCTTATCCTTTAATGATCACAACCAACACAAAACGTTGACATCAAGTTAAATGTAACCTAACCATAAGCCACACAGACCTACCTGCCTGTGCAGCTTGCTTATATTTTTCAGACTGCTTTCTATGATGTAACGGCTTGAGTATTTTAATGAGTGAGCAAAACATGGTGAGACCTGTACTGAGCTGTGTCACTGATGAACAGACCACTGATTTTCTCGCGTATATTTTGTTTTAGCCAAGAATGTGCTGTGTAGATCTTCATCCCCTCCTAAAAGAAGGCCCCATAATTAATGCTTAGACCAAGGTCACTATTAAAAAGTCACCATTTCAAACCCCAACTCATCTATAGCTAAGAGCACAGAATGATTTCTGGATAATTTTAGTTTTCTTGACGTTGCTGAATACAAAGTGAAGGTGACAGCAGGCCTGTTTTCTTCACATTATGTCACTTCTCTGTACTAGAGGGACAACACTTCAGTGCAAAGGCTAATTCATTCATCATGCCCACCTGATCTTTGGCCTTTCTAAGAGGCTGCCTGCAGAGGTGCCAATTAGTACCATTTGTGGTGGCATTTGTTTGTGTCCACTAGGAACTGGACTGATACTAATATACGTTTCACACAGAGCATGGCAAACACAAAACCCTAATGGCTTGCAGACGTTACTATTACTCACCCTGGCTGGTGTAAAATGCCCCCAGATTGCATTCTGTTGAGAATGGTGTTTGATTAATATAGATCTAGAATTTTCTCACATTTGTAAATGTAATTATTATAAATGTGAGGTGATTAATAGATAGCTTAAGATCAGTGCTGCCCTTAGATTGTCTGTTTTTATTGATGTTAATAATCTTACAATCAACTACTGTTTCCATTTTATTAAACACTTAAAGCTATCTGCAATTTTGATATAAGGATAATGTCTACTGAAATTGGTTTCCAAGAAAGCTGCCATGCTATCTGAGAACAGACTTGACCTGTACATCATGTTGGCTAGTTCTTGACACATTGATCAGCCAATGAGTTTAACACGGTCACATTTCCTAAATAATACCAAGATGAAGAACAGATATATTGAAAGACAGAACAGGCCCTGATACAAAACTTAGGATTTTATTATATATCAGGTGCAATGTAATGTTGATAAATACCAGTGTATCTTTATCATGTTTATTCTTTGAATATGTTTACCTTATGTAGTACAGCTGGTTTTAGATGCCTGATATTCTGGCATGGTCTTATATTCAACAAGATAATCTCATGTGAATTATGCATGGTCTTTAAAGGTCTTCCTTTCTCAATTTCTTATGTAGGAATATTTTCACATTACTCCCGGCTTGTTTTTAATGTCAAATCTGAGCATCTTCAAGTATCTGGTGGACAATGAAGTATATTTTACAAAAAGCAAGTTAGTCTGTTTGGTGTATTGAGCAGTAGGATTCTGAACGGCCATGATATTTAAATCTGTGTATCCTAGAATGCTTAGATGTTTGTGGGTGCTGTCTTCACTGCTCTCTATCGAACAGCAGAGTGAAAAAGAAGTCATGTCTTCTTTATGCTCCTGAGCTGCCATCTACAGCAGAGCTACTCGTGCTGATGGAGAAATGATATGTTATTTTGTTAGCTTGTAAAAGGTGCAATTGATGCTTCTGACTACCACCTCTGTGGTGCTCAAAAGAGGGTCATAGCACCTCTTGAATACCTGTGAGTTAATGAAGCTTAATCCCTGTATTTACAGGCGCTTATTGTATTATGGTGTGTAAGATTGTTAGCTTACACTTTCATATTGCATTTCAGCTAGTATGTTTATTATTGCGTTGGGTAAATAGCTCTGCTATATGTTAACATGTGACTCATTAAATGGAAGGTTAAAGCATGGAAAGAAATGCAGTACCATACACTTTTTTTGCCTTTTCTTCCAGCTAACCCCACAGACATCTGAAATACCTGTTACAGTAATGAAGGTAAATAGGTGAGGGCAACAAAACTTTTGTGTACTCCAGCATTGTTTATACGTGCTTGTCTTGATTACAGGTTCTGGATGCAGGAAGAATAAATGAATATGATGAGCCCTATGTTCTTCTGCAAAATAATGACAGCATATTCTGTAAAATGGTGCAGCAGACAGGCAAGGCTGAGGCTGCAGCTCTGTTTGAGACGGCTAAGCAGGTAACTCCTCACCCAGGCTGTAATTAAGCCTGCCTTAACAACTCACTTTTCATTACACAGCATTCTCACTTCAACTTTCGACACCTTGCTTATTGAGAAAGTTGCACCATATCATATTTAATATAATATTTAAAGTATTATGAAGCCAAAATAACCTTCTTCAACTTGGGGGATTGTCTGCCACTGGTAAGGGATACATATAGCCAGTTTGAATGACCTAATAAACTGAAGTGAACGTGTGAGATGAAATTATGAATGATGGTTGTCTGAAAAGGCAAGAAACCTGCTTGATGGACACCTAAAATGTCTGTCTCAAAGTATTTCATGAATATTATTTTTTGGATAGTAAATATTTAGCATGATCCTTTCTTTTTAATTTTGGGACTATGTAGAAATGTAGAAGACCAATAACACTGTTAAGAATAAAACAAGCTCTTTTCAGAACTTTCAAAATAGTATTGTATGCCCACCATTGAGAAGTCACCAGCTTTTTTACAACAAACACTTGTACAAACTCTGAAGCATTCTATCTTATCTAAAGGCAGAAATGTAATTTTAAAGTAAATCAAGGAACAGGCTTTGGTGGGTTGGCTTTATTCATTGCATTTCTTCTATGAAGAAATCTTCTGTATCAAGTTTGTCTGGATTTGGGATGAAGTTCCTTTGTGGATTACTGTAATGGTTCTCACCTTTTCCTTAAAAATTCATTTGTAGTGTACTTTTTTTCAAGCACATTTCAGATAACACTGTGGTATTCATCTCTAAATTCAATTTTTATGTGCATCTGTCAGGAGCCACAGATATGATATAGCAACTTAAAAATTGGCCTTTGTGAAATAAGAAAAACTGGCCATCATTTCATTTCCTTTCTGTCCCTCTTACACGTTTATCAGAAAAGCTGTATCTCTTCTAGTACAGGCAGAAATTGGTCAAATACTCAGCATAGTGTCCTATTATTTAGTATCACCTTACACCACACAGTGGTTGCTTGGTTGAGACATTGTTAGAGTCCTTGCGTCTCCTTTCTTTATTGTAGGGTGCTCTCCTCAGATCAGATTACTATAACTCCCATAACCGTCTAGCACCACTTATTAAATACTGAGACTTTTCATAAATGGAGTGTGAAGTTTCTATAGTTGTCAGTCAAGGTTTAAATACATTGAATAATCTGATATGAGGCTCCAGCTCTTTTGTGTGAACTGAATGAGAAACCCTGTGTTAGGAGTATATCTGCTGTTGTGGTTATGTGTTTTTCTTCAGTTTCTCACATATTTGATTTTCATTCTTACAAGGGAAAACTTTTCTGATATTGTTTTTTTCTTCTTTTTCTTTTTTTTTCATCAATGTTACTTTTCACATTGATTCCACCCTTTATAATAGGGAAGCAATTACAGAAAGAAAATAGAAAGGCGATATCATGGCATGGAAGTTAGTGCTCACATTTAACATTTCTTGGGTCCTTGGGTTTTTGGGTCCATTCTTGGGTTAAATTCTGAATTGGGGCACCTTCTTTGTGGCATTTCCATGATATCCCCATGTTTACATGAGTTTTTTCTTGTTTCTCCAGTTTCATTTTTTGATTAAGCTGTTCCTCTTTATGATGTGTCTAGCAAAATACACATTTAAATCAATTATTTTCTCATTTTTGTGGTAATTTATTTAATTTTGGATAACCTGGTGGTCTGCCAATTATTACTGCTGACTCACAGGTCTTGGGTCCTGGTTTATTCTGCCCTTGGGTGTGTTCTGTGTGGAGTGTCAATGTTCTTCCAGAAGCTACGTGGTCCCATTTCCACCCACTTTCCACAGACATGCTAGCTATGTTAACTGGTGTCTCTGAACTGTCCCTGAGTGCCTTGAAGTCCTATCTTGCACCCTACCGTTCCAGAGGATGCTCCTGATTTCCTTATCCTTAATAAGTGTCTTTCTGATAATAGATTGTGTGGATGGAATATTTTGTGTTTTGTTTCAGTAGTTTGTGCTTTGAGATTGACCTGTCATTAAAGCAAAACAACAGGATACATTTTGATAGTTCTTAAGTCTTTCTCATGTTGTTTGTTTTGATACATGTTGAATAACACTTAATTTCTTTTCAGACATACATGAAAAGAAGCCGCTCACCGCCAGTACCAAATGGACAGATGGATAACAATATGACCGACACCAGTTTCATAATCTTTGAAACAGCACTATAACATCATTGTAGCAATTTTGCAATTCTGTCTACAAATTCTCAATATGAATTGTTTGTGAAGAAATAAGACAATTCTGAAGCACTCCAGTTTAAACACTGCATTACTTAGGGACTTATATTTAATTGATTTAAAAAACTTAAAGCACATAAGGTCAAGAATGTTTCTTGATTATAAGTGTAAATTCGACCACAGTCCCCTGCCTAATGGGTAATCTGTAATCTTGTTTTAGTGTGAACTGTAACAATGTACAGAAGTGCTCTTATTTATGCCATATGAAAGAATCCATTAGTTGGGAAAAAATGTTTAGTTAGTTTTGGAAAACAAACTATAGTTATAATTTAAAATACATCATATACATAGTGCCTTCGATAGAAAATTGCAGTGTCAGGTAGAACATAGATATTCATTTGTCTTGAAGAAATTATTTTATACTTTGGACTTTGAAGTCCATTAAAACAGATCTAAAGAACATTGAATTGTTAAAAATAAAAATAATTGCAAAATGTGCAATAAATACAAACTGCATGTTTCATGATTAATGCAAATATGGTATATATAGGCTTAGATTGTGCCTTATTCATAATGGAATATTTATTTTATTTTTTATTACAAAATGTTTTTATTTTAGTGCAATATTAGGTGTTAATGTATCACAGCACTAGGTGTTTGATGTAGATAGGGCTCATCTCAATCAAAACAATATTCTTTCTTTGTTTTTTTTAATTGTGAAATTGCAAGTGTTTGAAAATTATTTGCAAATGTATAGAACTGACACTAAAATTTAATTGTGACAAAATAAGGAGAAGTGAATTTATCCTAAGATTTTCATTGGACCATAATACGAAAATAACTTAATATTTCATATACCAAATATATGCCTGTTTCACAATATGTCATTGTTTGTATGTTAATGCACATACAACTTTGCCGAAAATTATTTATAACTGACTTAATGTACATACACTATGTATTGAGCTGACTCAATACAGTTGTTTTTAAAATCATGGTAATATTTCATGACTACATATTTTTTTTACAATTAGAAAATGCTGCATTTATTACATAATTTAGTAGATGTATTACCACTTCAGAACTGAAACAGCTAAGCTTCAGGACATAGACTGCCATGTTGTAATCAGCTGGTTATTGGTGATACTCTATGTTACCTAAACAGAAGTGTTTTAAGGGCATTATGTTTTTCTTTGCATACTTAATCAAATTAAATGATTTTGTCTAACCAAGAATCACATCATGCTGAATACAAAAGCAGGTGCTTGTTTTCAGGGATAGCATAATCCTAATAAGTGCCTCCAGAAGAGAGGTGGTGACCTCTTAAGGCTGTTAGCCAGGGTGAGTCTTTACCACCTTGTGGCCTTGCCTGGTTCAGAACAAGCAAGCTGCCAGGTGTAGCTGGTAGAGTAGGTCTGGGAAAGGAACTGTAATTGTGACTGAAACAGAAGACTAGTCTTGTCTAAGAGCTAACAGATAATACGTAGAAAGAAAAAAATGCTTTGACTTGATAGGTTTTACGAGTAGAATTGTTTTACATTATTTTCAAAGCCTTTTTATGCACATGGCAACACCACAGCCAAGAGGTTCTTGTGCTTTGTATTGCAAAAACAGTACATATCTTTTGACAATAAAAGCACTCTACTACAGAACACATATACTGAATACTTAAAACAGCTGTACTTACGAAATTGAAATGGCTCAGGTATAATTTTTAGATCTGTAGTGACAGTACAGTTAATGTGAAAAAAAAATAAACATCAGGTGCTAGTTACAATTTTAACATTAAGTGTTAGTTTGTTACCCAAAGAAACTACTTTCTCATAACAATTACAGCTTTTTCAGTTGTAGATTTCTTCGCTGGCCTGTTTCCTTTTTTACTATAGAATGCCTTATAGGCTGTGGTTTTGCCACATCCTTTAACAGGAGAAATAAATGAATTTGGATCGTATTTGCCATATTAGGAAAAGTTTGTGAGGAGCATAGTTTTTTATTTTTTTTGTATAACAGGTAAATTAGTAATTAGATAATTAAGGGTGGTTGTATTAAAAACTTGAACAGGAATTTGCCTGGATGGTCCTATATTTCATTCCTAGTGATATACTGTATATAGTCTTTTCTAAAATGCCTTAGTTTAGACATTGATGAAACCTTGCCTTCATCATTGTTCATTACAGGTGCACTACAAAATTTATTTTTGATAACCAGATAAGTTGGGTAGCTTGAAGGCATTTTCTTTTCTTTCTTATTTATTGTAAATATGTCCAAATATCATTTTGAAATGATATTATTGGATTATAATCCTAAAAATCTGAGAGGTATGGCAAAAGGAAAGCCCTTGGCTGCTGGTTTTGATTCTGAACAGGGTTGCGTTCTGTGAGGGGTTTGCATGTTCTCCCCACTTTTGTATGAGGTTTTGCTGGTACATTGGTTTCCACCCATGCTGGTATCTAAATAGCCCGTGTGCGTTTGCCCTGCGATGAATTGACTGGCTTCATGTCCAGGATGTAATCCTGCCTTGTGTCCTGTGCTTCCGGGATAGAATCCAGGAATATGGCTGGAATGAGTGGCTTTCTCATAAAGGATGGATTTTGTATGACGGACAGATAGTTTAAGAGCTGTTTTCTTTTAGCTGAGGAATGAATTAAGTTTAAGAGAGTTCCACATTAGTTTACAATTTAGTAATCTAATAATTGCCATCTAGTAATTGTTTGTTATAAGAATTGTTTCTAGAAATGTATGCATTTTTGTATAATATTAGCCTATTTTAGAAAAAAGTTAGCCTTGTCTCAAAAATATTGCTGTTTTTTGTTGAGATTACTTTTATAATTTTAGATTTAAGGTTTTTGGCAAGGTTTTGCTGTGTCTTGGAATACAGTAACTGGATTATTGATGTATCCCCACTGAAATATTATAATAGCAAAAGTTATTAAGAGTAGTAAACTACTACACCACAATGTCATATACATTTATATTTTTAAGTTTAGTTTGTATGAGACAGCTGTTATACTAAGATTGTGTGGCCAAAAGGTTGTATTTGCAGTCTTTATTTTTTCAAACCATTTTTTTTAACTTTCTTTAAAGTACTAGTCATGCAATATGATAATTTCTGTGACAACTTTTTTGTTTAAAGCATTTACTGTACTTTATCATCTTATAAATGACTTTTTTATGAAAATGGCAGAAAATAACTTATATATGTTTTTTTCATAACTAAAGAAAAAATTCCAAAGACAGATTAAAATTAGTCTGCAATGGAGATTTTTGTTTTTCTGTTTGTAAAATGTTGTGTGCTGTCATGGTCCCTCAATTCTTTTGTACAATAAACTATACTTAAAACAAGGATTTTGATAGCTGTTTCTCTTTTGGTTTTACACAGGCTTTATACTTTTCATGACTGAGCGCTCTTCAGAACATCCTGCAGTGCTGACCTGAACTGTACCTCCCTAAAGTGGTGCCTTTTTAGTATTAAACCCATTATCCCTGAGCTTTGTTAATTTCAAATGTAAATATCCCTACCAATCGCAGGTAATGCACAAAGTTCTCTACCTGTCACCTAATTCTGAGCAGTGACTGAGCTTAGAAAACATATGGGGCGAGAAGTATCAGGAAAGAAAGAACATAAAATGACAACAAAATGACATTTTGATCAAATTTCCTCTTTCAATAAAAGTTCTGGATGAGATCTTTGGATCATGTTACTTCAGCAACCAAACAAGAAATGGACTATTTTTTCCTACCTAGGTCTATAGGCCCAAATATGTGTTATGCTGGTGAAGCTGGAGATGTTTTTGAGGCTTCACCACTTAGTTTTCTATACTACACTTGTGCATTGGTCAACTCCTTCACACCACAGCAAAACACGACGGACTTTTATCAAAGATTGCCCTGTCAGGTATTACTAGCCAAGTGCACTGTTAGAAATGGTAGAATTGCCACTACCCGTGGCGAAAAATAATAAAGAATTAAATTCGACGTCTTTAGTTCTTCATTCTTTTGTCTTGGTTAGTACACGCGTTAAAATATAAAAGTTCCTTAGACCCAAGTTATAAGTGAGTGGACGGAAATACTGTAAACAAATTATCAAAGGTAAAGGGAAAAAATCAGGACGAATGAATACATCCCTGACAAACCGTATAAAATAACGAGTCACTGTGTACATACTGGATAGTGCGCATTTCGTAGATTTGCATGTAAGCAAAGATTCAAATAAATCCATGACGCTTGCTGGTTGTACGCTTAAATGGAGCCTGATTGCATTGGCGAATGTGAATCCGCCCGTCTGTCAACCAAAGGGTTAATTTACTTAAACTGAAATACTATTGAGTTTCACCAAGTTTGATATAATTGTAAAGGGGGATCAATGAGGTGGTTGATGTAATTGTTCAAGTAAAAGGGGTTGCAGCCTGTGTAGAATGTTGTGGTTTGTAGCAGACACAACATGTTAGTCAGAATGAGACGGAACCGCAGAAAACATCTCACCCTGCCTATCAGAGTAATGAGTACTTTACAGGAAAATGCTGAATAATACTGGTGGCTGTTTAAGGGTACACAATAAACAAGCTTGCTTAGGGGAAAGTAGTGATATATCTGTTTGAATATTAAGAAGTGTTCTAACGTCACGTAATAATAACCTTTGCAGTCTGATACCCAAAATAACGAAACCAGGTCCTTACGAAAGCCCACCGGGTTTAATGATTTTAAATACCGGCCATCCCGTGTGTTCCGCCTGCTCCCTCCCAGAAAGAATGTCGGTTTTGCTTCTGACGTTCGAACATCAAAGTGTAGTGTTGGAATGTAATTATTTAACTCCTTTATTAATCGTTGTCATTGTACGCTCTGTTACATCAATCAGACTATAATTAACGCGAAAGAGGAAAACATTTTTCTTCATAAACTGCTGTAATAATGCGATCCATTTAATACATTGATTAATTAATGTGTTTAAGAAAGAATGAAAAGAAAGGTACAATATAAAGTTTAAAAGGAGGATGTGAAACATACTTCAGTAAATGAAGCTGTTCTGTGAGTTATATTTGAAAAATGGAGTTTAGTGCTCTCAAAATTATCCTAATTATAATCCTTCATTAATTTGTTCATTCCTTTTAAAGCTTGCTTCAATGTATTTGTAATTAAATCTGCGTTTAAGAAAGTGAAATATGGCTGTTTCTACACTCTCGATAAGACGGTTACAATACGCGGGTGTATTATTTAATCGTCATTTCACAGCCGAAGACTAATGAGTGGGGAGCTTAATTAAGTAAAGGAAACCGTTTTTAATTAAAAAGACCATCACCTTTCCATGTTGTCTACGTCGCTGAAGTGATTCAAAATATAGTTCATTACGTGTTGATTTTCAGAATAATCCCAATAAAAGCGCACAAAGCATGTTTATGAGGATTATCAATGCAAAGTAATTGTAAATCTATTCCTAATATAAGACTAAATACACAGATTTTAATTAAAATGTTGAAAAGAAATGCCTGTTTTAATAGGTAGTTATTATAGTTTGAGATTTAATATTTATAAGAATTCCATTCAATTTAGAATAACTAATTATATCATGAAAATGTGTAACAGTTGTCTAGATGGGCAATGTTTTATTTTAAGTAAATGATAATGTATCTAAATTTAGGAAAATCATAAAATTGTATTCAATAAAAAGAAAACTACAATTAATAAGTAAATGTATAGTTAGTTGCATTATTTATAATGAATATTTGTTGTAGACATAATTTTTTAAATACTATCTTGCCTCTTTTTTACGTATCCAATGATGTGATAGTTTTATCCCTGTTTTGTCCATTATATAAACTTGCAACAGTGTCATTATTCACTGCCATATTTAGCCTACATTAAATAGAAAATAAAAAAGAAATATCTTGAAATGGAAGCCAGAGGTCCTTTAAAGCTGAATGATTTACACAATTCATTAAAGATAGTGATTTTTCAGTTAGCATCATATTAAATGGTTACTTACTCTCAAATAGCCCTTGGGGAGTTGGATTGCTGGGTTGCAAACAGATTAAAGTTTGTATTGAAAGAAAAATTGAATTCAGAGGTAATCAATAGCATAATGGGCCAGTGAGTGGAGCCTGCTGCCTGAAATGAAATTACCATATTTTTAATCTTAATTTTCCACTCTGTTTATCTGACAGTATGGATGTGCAATCCAAACAGATAATGAGAGAGTGGGATATTGACACTGCTGTTCTCTGGAGTACTTGTTTCAGTGATTAAATGCTGTGATCTGTGATTACTTTGTGCTTGGATGTCAGGCCTGTTGGCCAGGACCAAGGGAGGGACAGCCACAGAGCAGCTGTAACATCAGGGGTCTCTGGGGTGCTAATGTACCTGATACAGCGTTACAATATTAAAAACATATCTGCAACAGCCCTGCATACTGTCAACACAATATGAATACTCATAGCACAATCTGTTTCACAGTCAGCACATATTCTCTACACTCTTCCTGATAATGTCCCCAGCAAGAATAGTAACAACAAAGTTTGCAGAGTAAGTATTATTAAATTGATACCTTATACGTTCTGGATAATAGTGCCATTTTTAACACCATAATAGCCTTAAAGGTATATCTGATTCTCCTTGTAATAGCAAAGCTGTCAGTGCAATGAATAGGCATTTTGGAGACAGAATAGCGTGTTGCCAAACAGAATAAGTTAAAAAAAAAAGCTAAGCTATATCCACAATAAGGATATAATAATAAAATGGACAGAGGAATTCAGGCTTCATTTCATATATTGCATGCATTTTTACAAAAAGCTTAATATTAATATGGTATCTTGTAAAAAAGAAGAGAAAAATAATTTCACTGTAAAAAATAAAACAGTTCTCTCCTGGCTTAGAACAGCCATTTTGGCTTGCTACAATATGTTGTTGTATATACAGAGTACGAGTGATTTTTTTGTGTTCAGCAGAGTAGCTTTGATAAAAGAAAACAAATTACACACAGCATAGTGTATAAAATGGTATAGCTGTGCGTTGCGGTATGTCAGAAGCAGTGTTAAAAGACGTAAAAGTGAAAGCTGCGGGTTGCATATGTTTCTCAGACCTGACTGATCCTTGTATAAAGCACTTGGTGAAAAGAAGGGAAGAACTTCGACAGGCTGTGGTGGAATTAGGAGAAACAACTATGCTGGCTTTGTTCTGTGCTGGTGACACGTAGAAGAGATTCAGTCTTGAGCGATTCCCCCTGAGACAATGTTTTCAACCTTTCTCAAGCACTGAAAACAGAATATCTTACAGGTTCCCAAAGCCTGACATGATTATCTGAGACCTGTAAAAAAACATGGGGCCCAGAGTATTCTACAGAGTCTGATAATCTGATGCTAAATAGACAAAACCAGAGGTAAAACAGAACCAGAGAAAGAGGTATTTTTCTATACCTGTTAAAGTAAGTAAATATATGGAGATCAAGTCCTACAAATAATTTTATGTGTCCCTTCATGTCTTTCTTTTCTTAACATTTTGAAATATACTGAGAAGGCTTACAAACACAACAAATACTATTGGTATAAAAAAAAAATCACTTGGTATTTTTTTAGTGCCCCTTCATATACAATGTTAATTTCTGAAAATTCTTAACCATCCACAGTTTTAGCATTTACATTCTGATTACTGTACCGTGTATAAGCTTCTGGATTCATATCTTCACATTTTCCCTGTTTGTTTTTGAAATCCAGACTTTAAATACATCTTACACATATCCTGGAATCCATTAATACTACTGAAATTGACAACCACTTTTGCCTTATAGATGAGGACAAATGATTGTAAACTAGTATTGCTAGTATTTGCTGTTTATGTGTAGGAATAAATATTCTTGTAATTAGCAAAAGTATTTGCTTTTTAAAGGAAATCTTAAAGGAGATATTATTATTACCAGTATGGTGAACAACAACAACCCAAGTGATTTCTTCTGTAAGGTATAGATGCAAGTCATGCTGGCTCAGCAGTTTTGGTATAACCATACAGTAGATGACCTGATAAAAGATTGGTGTTCACACCTCTAATTATATGGATTTGAGGTATACCTAGCTGTAACACATGGCACATTTTCATGGCTGTAATGTTTTTTATAAAGTAAGTACATGACCAAATGTGTGGCTTGTGTAGAAAAACGCATGGTACCTTGCTCAATTATGTGTGAGGGCAGATTTTGTAGCTAAAACATCCTGAAATAGGCTTTTTCTAAATGTTATTCAGCTATGAAGTTTAATGACATACAAACAGTGAAAATCAGTTTCTTGCAATTACCTAGGAATAGTAAAAACTGTAAAATGACTATCTGTGTGAGATAATGCGATCTTGTTTTAAA